GAAACTTCCAAAGTTAATATTTCCTTAGTGCCATGCAGTGTTAGAACACAGCTTGAATGAGTGTTAATTTTTCCCTAATGCCCATCCAGACAGATGATTTCGCCATTTTTGAATGTGGGAACAGCAGATCTTGTAAAGCCTTCAAAATCTGTTAACAGTAGCCTTATGATCCCAGCTGATGTGATTGCTTAACAATCAGACTCCAGATTGAAGTCTACATTGTTAGATCACATTTTGTATTTTTGATTTTAATGAGATGGTCTCTCACCAAAACATAAACCGCAATGTTACAGATTTTGCTTTAACAATAAATAGAAGTTTCTTATGCAATAGAAATGAAGATGACAAAGAATAAACCAAAATATTTATCTACAACATGAACTTAAAGAATTTTAAAAAACATGGTAAAAATATAATTCCATTAATCCTGAAAGCATCTGGTATCCTGGTGCCAGAAGCAGAATTATTTGTACATGATAACTCCTGTTATACACAATGAGATACTTAGTTTAAATGTTCAACCTATTTCTGTTTTGACATAGCTACATTTCACATTATGTGACAAGCAGATAAGTTGTTTCACATTAACCTTTATCTTCTTTTTCGCATGTTAACATGCATTGTGTCCTGGCATAGGCACAAGTGAAGGCCATTTAACTGCCAACCCTTTTTGACCATTCAATGAGATCATGGCTGATTGGTGACCTAACTACATATACTCACTTTCTCCCTGTAATCCATAAAACTTTGATTAACAAAAATCTCTCAATCTCAGACAATCCAGCATCATTTGCCGCTCCTGGGTGAGGCTTTCAAACTTTAACAGTCCTGAATAGAAGTATTTCTTAATTTTAGTTCTGAAAGGTTTTGATCTAATTTTAATAAACGTCCCCTAGATTCCCCAACCAGTGACAATTTTATCTATCTACCATATTGGCTCATTTAATACCTTGAAAATTTCTATAAAATCACTGTTTAATCTTCTAAACAGCCAGGAACATAGCCTTGGTTTGTTTAATCTCACCTTGGAATTTAATCTTTGCAATTGGTATTCCTTCAAAGGCTAATATGTCTAACCTACTAAGGTGTACTGCCCGAAACTGAGCACAGTACTAATCAGAGCTTAGTCTAACTGCAGCATGACTTTTAACTCCTTGTATTCCAGTCCTCCAGCCATATTGTCAAACTAAATGATTTAATCCTGAGAGTTTGTTTGTTCTTTCTGCAGCAGAACAGTATGTAGCTGGGACAACGATACCATTAATGATTCTCACAAGATTGGTTTGCAATAATTGGAAACATTTTGCAGTATTTATCCTATATGCAAACATGTAGATTTTGAACCAACCCAGAACCAAATTTGTGGGTAAATAATCCTGCTTAATATTAAATCTTTTAATTGTTCATGAAATTTAATGGCCTAAATACACAAATCTCCTACAAGTTTCTTTAGATCTGCACCATTTCTAGCTTTTCATTTTTTGGGTGAATATGGATGATCATAGACTCGTCTATAATGAAACTCATTTGTTGCAGCTTTATGAATACAGTTTAACATTATAATATTCCTTTGTAACTTAATGTTTCCATTGAAACTGCTTTACAATACGACCTTTGTGTTGTTAGCAAATATGGATATGTGGCTGTCTATCTCATCATCTAACAGGTAAATAGTGTGTAGTTAAGGTCTCAAGACAAAAGCCTATGAGATGCCAGTACATACATTCTGCTAATTAGGGTACCTGCCCATTTTCTCTACTTTCTGTCTCGTGCCACAAAGCCAATAAGACCATTAGGTCTGATCTCTTAAGAGACATATCTTAACCAGGTTGATAATTTGCTCTCAATTCTATGTGTTTTAAATTTAGCTCATAAGATATTATGTAGGACTGTTGAGGAAGTTCATGTAAGTAGCATTCATAGTTTGTATTGTCCATTATTTTACTCTCCTCTTCAAAATATCTAACAGGTTTGTCAATTATGACCTATCCTTTATAATTTCATGCTGCTTTTCTCCTAGCAGCTGAGACTTTTCAAATTGTTCAGTGACTCCATTCTTATTGACAGACTCCAGAACAACAGACATTGACCAACATTTATGACAGTTATTAAACAAATTGATCTAGTGTTTCCAAATTTTGCTTTCTCAATTTCCTTAAATATAAATGGTGCATGTATGATTTTCCAATCTAGAGGAATCATGCATGAATTTTTTTAAAAATTGGATGATTATAGTTAGAGCATTTGCAATTTTCTCCAAACAATTCTGGTGTACAATAAGACTTTATTGTTATTTATTTTATCCAACCTGTTCAAAATTGTTATGACACAACCTCTGGGACAAGTAGGACTTGAATCTGGACCTTCTGGCCTAGGAGTAAGGACATTACCACTGCACTTCAAGAGGCACTAGCGAGACCTTTATATCCCCAATCATATGCCATGACATAGTGATAATGTAAGCATATCTCTTAAAGGTGAACTGACATGTGAGAAATAACACAGCAGGATTTGGAGATTAACTGGGACATAGAAATTGGCTATAGGGTATTTAATTGTGTGTTCTAGAATAATGGCTGTACAAAACTTTAGTTAGGCCACATTTAGAATATTGTATATAGTTCTGGTTGCCATACTACCTGAAGGACGTGGAGGTTTTGGAGAGGGTACAGAAATGATTTACCAGGATGTTGCCTGTTTTGGAGGGTATTAGCTATGAGGGGAGATGGGACAACCTTGGTTTGTTTTCACTTGAATGTCGAAGGATGAAAGCCGACCTGATAGATGTTTACAAAATAATGCAGGGCATAGGTAGAATAGATAAACTGAGTCTTTTTCCAGGTTAGAAATGTCAGTTACTAGGGGACATATGTTTAAGGTAAAGGGCGTAACTTCAAAGAAGATGTGAGAGACAAGTTTATCTACCATTAGAATTTTCATTTCAGCCCTTCCCACAATTGCTACAAGATTAATTCTGTGGGATGATATAAACTTTATGAGGATTCATGGTTCACTAGTTGCCAAATTGCCTCATGGAATATAAAAGATAACTAATGACTTGTGGTGCACAATATTTTTTTATCTTGTTTGGTTGATTAGCAGAGTTTATCAGATGTACACTCCTTTACCCTCTCACATAAGCTTGTACACCCATTTTATTAGCTAACTGAGAAGAGAGTCAGCTGTCTTCCTCTCGGGCTTCTGCCTGTGCACTGACAACACATATTCGGGAATATAGTATTTTATGATCCATTGCCCAAAGATAATTCTAATTACCTCAACATTTTTTTTTCTCATCCTTAGAAGTATTCTGTACTATGAACTTTTGCCTCTCATCCAGAAGTCTCATTTACAAAATATCCCAACGAACCACGACCAATAACAAAAATGCTATCATTTTTCATTTGGATCTTAAAAATGTGTAGCAAATACAACAAGAATTACAGGATGGAAAAAATCTTAAATAGAAATTGTTAGAATAATAAAATATTATGTAGTCATACAGTCAAACATCCAGATTATTTCATTTCTTTTTAAACCTGGCTTCAGTTACGTTCCTTCTCAAAATACAATCTGAATAGTCAAACAGATGGCATCCTCCAGAAAATAGATTATTTTTATCAGTAAAGCACAGTAAGAAATCAAATCTTTAAATCATTATATGATTAAATCTTACCATTAAATGTTCATGCATATCCTTTAGAATGTCATAATTCAGGAAAGCTGCCAATGTAAACACTCAGTATGAAGTACATTGCGCCTTTACCTTAATTTCTTTGTGCATGTTTACATTTGAATTAGTCTCAATTGTTAATTTTTCAGGCTAATAATAACTCAAAATGTTAACTTTTTTCTCTCCACAGATGCTGCCAGGTCAGCTGAGTTTCACCAGCAAATTCTGTTTTGGTGTGTTTCAGATCTGTCGTTCTTTATTTTGCAAAACTAAAAGTTATTATATATTTGTTCAACATGGGAAAATCGAGCTTTTCCGCTGGATTGACTGGAAGCCATCAAGTTTATTAGCCTCAATTATGACCCAACACTCACAATTTAATATAACAATGAAAAGCCTTAAGGAATTTCATGATTCCAGAGTTTCACTGCTGCAGCTCTATCGGAGCGTGCTCATGGAAATGGAGCACCAAATGAAAGGTGTATCTATGTTTTTACATCTTTCTGCTTAACATCACAACTTGTGTTTTTTTTTAATTCCCACTCTTCCCGAGCAGAAGGTTTTCATACGTTGACACACTGCCTCAAGCGTTTGCCAACTTTAAAACGTAAACTTTAACATTTCTCACATAATGGTCTCAGTTGTTAAATAATAAAGTGGAGCAAGGAATCACCGTTTCTCACTTATCATTACATTGACCACAACGAGCTGATGGTCACAATTTATTCCTTACTGCAGGAGCTCCATCCCAAAATGCATTCGGTTACAGGTTGCATCTATAATCTGCAGTTGTCACTGTGAAGATGGAACAGAAACAGGTACCGCCTCAATAATAAGGTTTCCGAGCTAAATAAATCTTCTCGGCCAACAGTATTGGGGAGATAGGGGGGAATTTAAGCTCATACTGACTTTTGCACTACTTAAAATTCTCTTCCTTCACCAATCATCTAGCTGGCAATATTACATGCATTTGGTTATTCACAGAGTAACAAACTTGTTGTAGTCGTTGCAATTGCCATCTCCAGATGGTAATTGATATTCCAAAGGTGTTGGCAATTAGCAGCTTGCGTATTTGCAACGTTCTGCACCTTAGCTCCAAATTTTGCTCATCCCTGAGCCAGGAAGGACATGTAAACCGTTACAATTCTCTTATCACTGATTGGCCTGACACCCGTTCTACACTCGTGGGATTTGCTGTCAGCTGTTGTTGCTATGATACCGTTTCTATATTTGTAACTTGGCGGGGGTTGAGTTTAAAATCATTTCACAGCAAGTCCATCACTGTGACGTCAGTGAAATTGGTTGAAATCTCGGTGAGATACATTAGGTAGAGAGAGATGGCTATCTGCAGTGGCTGAGCGCTATGACTGCAAACACCAGCAGCTCCACCAGATGACTCCATCCAGACATGCTGCAGCAGTGTGATATTTCCAACAAGCGATACCGGGCACTCTGGTCAGTGGATTTAATCAAAAGTCACGAAGCTTTGTTAAACGCAGCCCGGAGAGATGCTGTAATCTTGCTCAAATCAATCGGAAATGCATCCAAACAGTGGATCAGCAGACCTTCCAATATCCTGCTCCTGTACTACCGCTGGAAGTGGGCTGATGCTCTTAATGACATTGTCAATCTGTATCGAAGGTAGACCTTTACATGTTTGTTTTGTTAAATTTGTATTTTCAAGGCATTTGCAACACATGATGGATAATGTCGTAACTCACCGTATTAAAAAAAAGTGCACTGCGGATGCTTTTCTTAATCTAGGTCAGAGAAGAGAATAAATTAAATCTGCAATCAGAGTTTGGGAAGGATTGGACATTTGGAAATAGTGACAGATTCTCTCACTTGCATTTGTGAAGTAGTTCCTTTCGGCTCCAACAGATGTGTGACCACAATAATGTGCTGCATTTATTAACATTAATGCGTGGGAAAGTTTCTAATCTTGCATTCTGCCCCAAAAATGATTCTCTCTTCATGAATTCTCACTGCTTCTGATCCGAAGAGAATGGTTTGTGTAAAATTGCTCGAGCATCGGGAAGTGATAACTCAAAACAATGAAGAAAACTGTGGTCTTTGCATTAATAACGCATCTAAAATATTTGATGAGTTTGGGGCTACCAATTCTGCAAAATATGGAACCTTCCGATTGTAAAGTAATTCAGGGTTCAGAGTTCTGAATGTTTGTGTGATGACAAAGTGCCCTGGTTGTGGTGTAAACTGTGATTTGTATGTGTGAAATGACCTAGTTTATTCGTAACTAATCAGTGCTTCAATCTATTCACCATAAGTGTAAATTGCTTTATAACAGACAATTGCCTTAACTTTGCAATTTTCCAGTAATGGTGTCTCTCAAACTTGATTTTTTTGAGGAAGTAACCAAAAAAATTGATGAGGGTACAGCGGTAAACGTTGTTCACATGGACTTCAGTAAAGCCTTCTACAAGGTTTTGCGAGGTAGCCTAGTTAGTAAAGTTAGACCACACGCAATTCAGGGTGAGTTTGCCAAACTGCTCTTCTTCAGAACAGTGTCATGGGATCTTTTTAATCCACCTGAGAAAGCAAACAGTTCCTCAGTTTATCATATCTTCTGAAAGATGGCAACTCCAGCAATGCAGCATTCCCTTGGTTTTACACTGGAGGGTCAGCCTAGATTTTTTGTGTTTTAGTTTCATGGAGTGAGTCATGGATCATAGTGATGCAAACTGATTCACAGCTGAGAGAGAAAGGAAGATCTAAGTAACCAGCATTGGGTAGATTATGAAGGCAAAGGAGACAATGAAGGAGTAGACAAGTGCAAAAACAATTGCAAACAAAAGGTGGGTTAGGCTTTTCATGTGGAGAATTTCTCTTTTTATTATGCCAAAATTCGCTAATATAATAACAGCATGTGAACAAGATGTATTTTATTGATGTGGTAATTGGTCAACAACTTGAGGCAAAGAGTAGGTACCTTGTGAATTGTAAATCCCCAAATTTATTGACTAATTTTCACCACTCATTAGCTTCAAAGGAATGGCACTTCACCCTCCATCTCCTCCTGACTTTTGTGAAGTTGCTGCTGTTGCACATTATATGGCCACTAAGAAAGTTGTCTCATAATTAATAACATAAGCACCCCTTCAACTATATGATAATTACTGATAACTGCTAATCAAAGTCACTGGCCCAGAAAGTGAACAATTAAAAAGGTAGCGTCTCCTTCCTCTAGATATTTAATTAATATGGGAGTTTTTTAATGTTAAATTTTAATTTTCTTTTCTTGTACTTCCTTTCTGTCTCTCTTCCATCTTAATTCAATACTTCTTTTTGTCTTTAATTCTTCACGTGTATTTGATAAGGTTGTGAAATCCGGCCTTGCCTAAATAGAATTGGTGGAGGGAATATATCATTGCTCCTGCCATTCATATGCCCTCTTGCCCTTAATGTGCTGTAATCAGTACAAATTACCAGCAAATTACAGCAAGAAATGTTCTTAAGATCAATTTTGATTTTGAAATGTAATAAAGATGCTCAACTCCAGCAAATTCTGGCACATTGTGGATAGGGTAATTTATTACTGAGCTGTTATGTACAGGCCATTAATTGGGTTTGCACATCCAGCCATTAAGCATTTTTCCCTGATTATTACATTATTGGGAGGACATTTTGCTGTCTATTGTATGCAGTCTTGTATATTTCCAGATTCAACTTTTATTTCCTTTACCACATTTCCAAAGATTCCAAATGCTTTCCATTTACTTTTCTCCAATATATTGTAAAATCTATTTTTTTTGTCCTTTTAAGTTTGGATTATTGATTGACCAGTTCAGCATTGTTATTATTTAGTCTGCATTACTAATAATAGAGTGGTACAGTCCAAAAGGAGGTAAGTGGAGCTATTTTTCTGCACTGGCTTATTGAAAGAACTCACAATTAGTTCCTCTCCCTATTTTTGTCCCACTGCCATACATTTTTCTTCTCTTTTTATCCAATTCCCTTTTGAAAGTATCAATGGAATCTGCTTCCACCACTTTCAGGCATGGCATTCCAGATCACAAAACCTTTATTTTCCAGAAACAATTTCCTCATGTTACCTTGGCTTCTTTTGCCAACCACTATATATCTGTGTCCTTTGGAAAAGGGCCATTGTCTCAGACCATAAGATGCAATCACAGATATAAAGCTGAAGGCAGTTTTCTTTTAATGTTCATGGATGTAGGAAGACCAGCATTTATTCCCCACCCTCAACTGCCTTTAAGATGATTGTGATGAGCCACCTTCTTGAACCTCCACAATTTTTATGGTGTAGCGACATATACAGCACTGTTAGGGAGTGAGTTTCAGGATTTTGACAGTGAAGGGATGGCAGTACAGTTCCAAGTCAGGGTGGCATGTGACTTAAATAGGAAATGGCAGGCAGTGACATTCCCTCATTGCAGGAAATGTCAAAGCAGCAGTGGAGGGAATTGAAACACAAGGATGAGGAATTTAAACTTTATACTTTATGGAATCAAGAATCAAAGAAGCTGTTATTTTAAAAAGGGTGAGGTGAATGATAAATGGGGCTTGGTTTGAAAAGGATATATTTCAATATTGAAAAAGTAGAATTGATTGAGGGTACATAATGAAAAACTAGCAAAAAAAATGAAATAATTTAGAAAGGGTAATAGATTGGAAACGATGTAAATGATGGTGCATCCTGATAGAGGTCAGAATGTGAGGTCTTATGAAGGTGAATTAGCAGGATGTAGGGCTTAAAGCTCAGCTCTCAGCTGAACATAATGCTGGGTCTATGTGTGGCCTGGTTCCGAGAAGCATGAAGACACATATGGGAATGGGGAGTAATTGCAATGACTTTGATCCTTATACAAACCATCAAATTGCAAAGGGCTGGGAAATACTTTGGAATGAGATTCCAATCTGACTCTATAATGTTACAAAGCTAAGAGATATGAGACATGCCCAGCAAATTTCCATCTCCCTTTATACTTGAGGCTGTCCACTGAAGAATTCCAGCACTGTGCAAAACTAGACCACAAGGTGAAAACTCCCACCTGCATTTTAGCATTAATGATTTAGCCTCCCAAGGAGTTGAGCATTGCACACGGAGGGCTCAATTTAAGAACCCTCTGAAGACAGGGAGATGGATGTTTGTTAGAAAATTGTTTGAGAAGGTGAGGTCGTAGACTACCTGTCACCTTTCCAATGCAATAGAATTTTATTTGCAACAGGGAGTAACAATTTCTTTCCACAACCACAGGCAATTTACCTTTTGCATAATGTTGTATATTTGTTGTACACTTGTTGGAGATACCAACTGGAAATTTATGCTGGTGGCCTTCCCACTATGTGAGGACACCTCCCAGTGAAACCTGACAATTATGCTGTTGGCTAGGGCAGGCTGCCTGTTTTGGTAATCTGTGGTCCAGGGGTCCCAAGTGACCAAGGTTATCCCATGGCAAACTTCATTATCCTTTCCATTAGCACTCCAACCTCTTGTGGGGAAGTTGATACCCAGTTTAGACAGTTGCAGTCCCAGCAGTAGATACCACACTCAGTGGTGCTTTTACAAATTAAGAGTTATCAATCCTCCAAATAGATGGTAGCTCTTGGAGATGGGCTCCTGTCCTTGAAGCGGTTGGGACACCCAGTTCCAAAAAGATCTTGTCAAAGGTCAACTAAACACTCGGTTGTATTGACTTTCCAGCTTGGCATTAGGACACCCATGTTAAAAATATGGGTGCTTTTTAGGTTTTGTATCTCAGATGGTTGTTTTGGTTTTTGTATCTAAGATGTTTGTTTTTTTCTTAATTAGGTTTTAGTACCTAAGTTGGCGCTGGAGAATGACAACTTTGTGCACTTTTCACTGTACTCCTGTACTTTTGTACTTGAGTATATGTAACAATAAAACCTAATTCTTAAACAAAATTCTAAATTAAACCAGCACATCTTCAGAGATATTGAGACTGGTGAGCTGTTCATTGGACTTTGTGTTTAAAAGCTGGGATCATTTATTGGTGTGGTCAACAGTTGGAAAAATTACCACTGATGATGTGGTGATAGAAAAAAATTCAGTTGTGTGTAAGAGTACTTCCTAATATAAAACTAATTTGGCTTCATTGCCAGTGGGGAATTAGCCTCTGGACAGGGAAAGTGTCCAGAAGGGAAAGGTGGAAACTGGTATTTGTGTTAAACTGTATATTTACAATTAAACCTTAGTAAATCACTGAAAGCCTTTCGCTGCTTCATTCAACAATAGATATTGGTCTGTTCAACAGCCCACCACTGATAAAATCCAGCCCTTTTGGAGTACCATTCACCACCTATTTCATCTACTGGTTGTAGATAGTAAGACAACATAATGACATTCTTGACCATATCAAGCATTCTCTAAATGCTTTTCAGCATAAAAGTGGACCCTAGTTTACATAGATAAGAGATGAATCCCTGATAACACTTCTCCAGTAATGGACAGCATTCACAGTGAATGCATGTCAGGAAATCACTTGACCTATCATTCATTTAAATCATACTTTGGCAAATTAAAATGGAGTTTAAGATTGCAATGTTAATGCAATGTTAATCATTTTATCAAACTACATGTGTAATGCATCAACTATTAAATACCAAAATAAGATTCAGAGCAATAGCATTACAGTTGT